TAGAGAGATCCAGGGGGCAGGGAGGAGCTGTGATCAGTGCCTGACTCCCTGGGTCTCCACTACTTGGTAAGCTCTGGGAAGTCCTGGCCCCAAGGAGGGCCCAGTAACTGCTGCCAGATTGCCAGGCCCAGGCTGCAAGACTTACGTGTGCATGCTACCTGGGGGCCCTCCCCGGGGGCTCGGTAATGTCCATTCTCACAGGTACAGATGGTGGCCCCCTCAGACACTGTTGTGCTATGTTGGGGGCACTTGAGACAATGGAGTGTTTCCATGTCCCTTCGGTAGGAGCCAACAGGGCAGGCTGGAGAGAGAAGGCAGAACCATGTTTTGTTTTGTTTTGATTTTACATGGAAAAATCAACCCTCCACACTCTTTGTCCCACTCCCTGGAACTGGAACACACCTGCAGACACGTCACTTAGGTTAATACAAATCATGGAAATGAAGCCCTGTTTTGGCACCCGGATGGCCCACCACCCAGGGGGGTCCCTGGGGCTTTCCAGTCCCCCATTTCTTACCGGTGCATCCCACACTGCCACCGCGTTCCTCGTAGCCAGGCTTGCAGTGGCACTGGCCCACAGGAACCAGCCACTCACCATCAGGGCTGCAGTGCATCCGTGGCGTACCTGCGGACCCCGGGCTGATCTGTGCATGGGGGACACAGGTTCCAGCCACTTCGACCAACCCTCCAGGTCCAGGGAGAGTGTCTGGGAAGTGGGCCAAGCCATGCACAGTCTCTGCACAGTGCTGGTAGAACACTCTTACGGACACCAGGGCCACGCAGGAACCCGGGTTGTGGAAAGCTAGGTAGAGGCCACGGTGGGTCAGGCGGCCCAAGGAGCAGCGTTCTACGTTCAGTTTCACAGAGCCAGACTCCAGGTCTCTAATAGTGAAGCTCTGGTCTGCAGCCACGGTGGTTACCTAGGAGGGAAAAGGAATGATGGTGAGCCCATGCTTCAGCCCTTCATCACAAACAATTTTTGGTTTCATATAGGCTGACTACCTCTAATCCACAATTCTAAAACCCGAAGTGCTCCCAAACCTGACAATGCCCATAGCATGCCGCAAATGGAAATTTCTATATATTAGCTCATGTGATGGATCACAACAATAATGCAATCATATACTTTGTATAAAATTACTTCAAGCTACATGTATAAGACATATATAAGACAAATGAAATTCATAATTCGAATTGGGTCCCATCCCCAAGATATGTCTATATGAATACTCGAAAGTCCGAAATCTGAAACACTTCAGACTCAAAGCATTATATGAATAAAGAACGTCCAATTTACACAGCCATGATGGAAGAGCGTGATGTACAAGGTCCCATGGTAAGCAACTTGTAGACATGCTGTATAGCTCTTGTCTTACCATCTTACTTAACAGAAGAAGAAATTAAGGCTACGGCAAATTAGTCCTTCTAAAAGACAGTACAGCTATGACACGATGGAGCTAGGATTGGAACCCAGGCAGTGGAATGCTACAGACCATAAAGTTTTCCACTACTGGGAGGTGTTCCCAAGCCTGGTGCCAATGAGGTGATCAGTTACAGAGTGTGTCATAACTAATTTATCACCAATAACAAACTTTACAACCTTCGCTCTTTGGAAAGAAGTGAGAGCACATCCTATAATAAGCTCAGACTGTTTTGCTTTCTAGCAGGTTTCTACGTTATGAAAGAATGTCATGGTACTAGTGACTGGTAGCCAGAAACTACCCTATGTAGTTTCAGCAATACTCTTGGGGTCATGTCACATATGAACACGATGGGCACTGAGATAAAAAGTCTGAAAACCTCCACAATATACTCCCCTTTCAACCATAGCACCACACTATTTCAATGGATGCAAGTAATAAGGCTATTACATGATGTGGTAACCAATGTTCAGAGAGGTTAGATGATTCCCTTAAAGTCAGAGCACAGCCAGTGGTATTCAGTTCAGCCTTTCTGTCCTTCTGTCCTGAGTTCTTTCCCTTATTCTACATTCATGCTTGCCCTGTTCCTTCTTGGCTGAGCTGAGTCATGATTGAGGATCGAGGCAAGGGTCTATATCAGGGATGGGAAGGCATGAAGGGGCAGCAGCACCTTTTGGAACAAAGGCCGTCGGAGCTGAATGCCCACATCCTGGTCACTCTCCATGTAGAGAAGGTTGAAGGTCTCCTTGCATCCCAGAGGCCCAGCTCCCCCTGGGAAACTCTTACAATCCCTCACAGTGAACTGCAGCTCTACGTGGACATGCGAAGCTTCCTCCCCTCGGTAGATCCAATTGGAGCGAAGCCAGTGGTTAGTGTCTCCACTTTCCTGTACGGGGCAGTCCTGATACATGTACAGAGGTGTCCCATTCAGCATTTGTTGCCCTTCACTCCACTGCAAGAAAAGAATCAGACTCAGTGACCAGAGCTGATGAAGAGGGAGTTGGAGCCAGAGTTCCCAGGTTAATATGACTTGTCCTGCCTCACTGTCCTGCCTCCCAGCCCCAGGAGAGTAGGTTAATTATTTTAAGCTGGGGGGTTATTTGGGCTTGGGGCAGATAAGGTAACAACCCTTTTACATCCTAGCCAGCTCTGGTTGGTCCCTTAATTTTATCTGCTTCAATAAAAGATTATGGACAGAAATTTCGACCTATTTAATCAGCAAAACTGTCAGATATCCCCAAGGGCAAAGCCCATTCAAAATCCATCTGCCAGTTTGTTCAAAGCCTTATTTTTCAAATAGCAAAGCCCCTCTGCCCTTGGAGGACAGGGACAAGCACAGAACTCTCTACATGGGGATCTCACCCTCTCCAATATTCCTTCTAGTTAGAGCCATCACCGAAATCTCAACAGTGAACCGGACTCCCAAGCACCATCCAGTCTGTCCTTTGACTTTTTTCTTTAACATTGAAAGGATTTTTAAACCTAGTAATCATAATGGCTGGCATTACTATAACTCTCCACAGGCCACTGACACAAGGCCAGTATAGAGGGACTTACTTGGGTACTAAGAGGCAGGGTTGGAATATGGAGCCAGGCACTTCAGGTCCAGAACTTATGTT